TTAAAAAAAAAAAAAAAAGCATTGCAGCCCTTCCTGGTGGCGCAGCTGGTTAAAGCACAGCACTAAGCTTAAGCCACTTTCGCATGAGTTCGATCCCTGCCTGCCCCGAAGGAGACCCACAAGGCTTGAAAGACCTATCTTGACCAGCCTGCTGTTCCTCTCAGCAGTGTACTTTGTCGATCAACCTGTTCTGCTCCCTACTCTGTCTCTGATGAATCCTTTCACTGTCCCTGTACCTCTGACCTGTATCCCAGTTCTGTGTCTAAATAAATAAATAAGTCTTAAAAAAAAAAAAAAAGGCATTGCATCCAGGGGCCTCCCTAGTGGTGCAAGGGTTAAAGACACAATGCTATCAATCTATCACAGTCACTGCAGCATGAGTTTGATCAATCCCCTGCCAGAGACCACCCACATGGCACAGCACAACTCTCCTGTCTCTGTCTCACTGGTGGATACCCTCAGCAGTGTATTTAAGTGCATCTGCCTGTTCTGCTCCCCGCTATGTCTCTGGTAAATCCTATCACTTCCACACATCTGGCCTACAACACAGTTCTGATATGCATAAATAATAAAATCTTTAGAAAAAGAAAAGTATTGTATTTAAAGAAAAAGAAAGAGACTTGAATGATAGCAGATGACTAAATAGTATATAGCCATCATCCAGTTTTGTTTTTCTAATGATCCTCTAAATATAACCTTAGACTTGATACCACAACTACATGCAATAGAGATGTACTATTTTGTTTAATGATTTCATTACCATGGTGATACAACACACAAGTGTTATAATTCTATGCCAAAATCATAATATTCTGAATTAACATTTCACCTTTGTTGTGTACTTTTCTCCCATTGTAATTGAAAGTACTAGAAAATAATCTCACTAGAAAACTTACCAAAAAATGAAAATGAGTCTTCACCAGATAGTGTTATAAAATATGATCAATGTTGGGGAACACTGCTTAACAAGTTTTCCTAACGTGAAAACTGAATTAGTAAACAACAGGTGATAGAGAGATAAAGAGATACTAAAGGAAAGAATCTGTTCTATGCATGGGGAAATTAGTGAAAACATCACTATTGCTTATATAAACATCAAGTTTTCGAAGGATTAGCCAGTATATTTAATACATATAAAAATACTTCATAAACACCAATTTTTATTTTAAAATTCTACCTTACTTATGAATCAACAAATGTTCTGGCACTCACCACATCAAGAAATACTTCATTAATTATAAAGGCAAACTGAATACAGCAAGAAAAATATATAATTCAATTATGTATTAATATGAAGAAACAAATAATTAACCTAGATTATTTTTATTTTGATTTACTTACTCAGAAATTATTTAAGTCAAACATTTCATTTTCTATAGATTTATACTATAATCTGTGTATACAACTAGAGTACTAAGCAAAAGTGAATCTGCATCATCAGCCATAAGATGTACAAAGATTTCCAGTGCCTCCAGTTACTTTTGAAAGACTTAAAACAATACTTACTTAAGTAATACTTAAATGATACCTAGTTGCTTCTATAGTCATTGAGAATTTAGTTCGGTTCCTTGAATTATATTCCGAATCTTCTCAGCATCATTTTGTACAACTTTGTTAGATGGGTCAATCTTAAGTGCAGCTTCATAATCCTGTAGGCCTACACATACATGTGCCAATGATGATCAATAAAATACTTTATAAATATTTGTGTTATCTAGTCAGTATAAGAAAAAATAACCACCAAGAACATGGCTCAACCACTGGGTTTTAAGTTAGATCAACACTTTTTGATAGACATGGTAGTATTGCTAAGGGATTTCAGTTATTTCAGAAATAATAATAATGGTTTCACTCAGAGTTAAGAAAGAAACAGTTACTTTAAAATGAAGAACAAATAAGCTAATAGTTTAATCAATGAAATGAAAGGGCATTTTTAGCATCTCAACAAAAATAAAAAATGGCATATTATTTAGACATTCTAGATTTTTTCAATAATTTTGGTAGACTCAATCCATACTTTATATAATTCATACACAATAGTTTATAAATTTTCTGTAGTTATCATAGCTAAAGAATTACTCTGAGGAAAACTGGTTAAACCAGCATTATAAACTGGTTGACAATTTGTTTGGAAGTAAGGAAACCTGAATTCCAAGTGCTATTGATTTGTTATATACTTTCAGACAAATCACTTAATTTCTCCAAGTCTCTATTTTCTCATCTTTAAGACAAAGGGTCCTTTTAGTTCAAAACAGTCTAAGATAATATGCTTCCTAAACCATGATTTATATTGTTGCATTCCTGTCTTGATCATTTTTATCCTCATGAAGTTATATAAAATACTTTTTTTAAAAAAAAGCATGAGGCCTATAAATTTAACTAGGATGCTTAGGTTAGAAAAATCTCCTAAAAATTGCAGGAAAAAAAGTGATGTTTTTAAATAATAAAATTTTATAGGTTAGCATACATTTCCTGTCAATGCATCACCAAGCACAGTACTTTAGGTCTTGAATGAAGGGAAACTGAATGGACATCTGGATAGAGAGGGATGGGAACAGAGACTTTGGAGATAAAACCCTAGCTAGTACTAAGTTTTGCCTTTGGTGTAATGTAATTGTAAATGTCCTTGAATATATAAAAGATGAAGAAAAAAACTAATTCAATTCAATTCAAAACTAAATAAATGCTATGGTTTCTAAGCATATGAGGCTATATACCAAACCTCTGTATATTCTCACAAACATTCCAACAAGCAATAATGATGCATTGTAATAGATCAATTATTTCTGAGAGTATGTGCATATGACCATAGAAGCTAGTTTTTAAATTTCCATTTACTTTGTGTGTTGTTAAGTCACTTCCTAAGTGATTCCTTTGTCACACATCTTTTTGTAGAAGTTACCTGATATTACAGCTTTTTCCTATATCTGAACTTGTTCACACCTTAATTTAACTTATTCTACAAAAGTGAACTTTAAATATTCTGAAGTCATTTCTTATTTTGTCAGATAAATTACAGCCATCAACAAAACAATATACTTAAGTATAAAATAATGGAGTGTTAACATGTCATGATCTTAAATAATCTCAAAGTTTTTTCAAGATAGAACTTGAAATTTAAAACATTTCTATCAATTTCTTACCTTCTATATACAATTCTAATTGACAGAATGCTGTCCCACGTCGTACATGTGCCTTCATTCTTGCATTAGCATTGTCTGCAACAGGTGGTGTTAATAGTTCTAGTGCCTTACCAAAAAAAAAAAAAAAGGGGGGAGGACATAATTCTCTAAATTTGAGCAAAAACATAGTAAAACTCATAACTTTAGGCCTTGAGCCTTCTTTTTGTCTGGAATGCAATTGTCCAGTACATCACAAAAATGACCAACATAAAGGAAAGAGGAAAGGCATCTGCTTTATGTTTTCTAGGCCTTTTAGAAAACAGCTGTTCCTTTGGCCATACACATGCAATACTGCAGGAAAGGCACTGTTTAAACTCAAGGGGATAGGTGCTGTTCAAACAGGAATACCCCACACATATTACCTTGGCAAAACTGGAAAAGTCTACATTGTTACCCAGCATGCAGCTGGCAGTGATGTAAAAGTAAAGGAATTTGAGCATATTAAGCACTGTAAGTGCCATAGTAGCTTCCTGAAAAAGGTGAAAGAAAATGATCAGGAAAAAAAGGAGTTCAAGAGAAAGGTACTTGGGTTCAACTGAAGTGCCAGACTGCTCTACTCAGAGAAGCACATTTTGTGAGAATCAATGGGCAGGAGCTCTAGGATCCATTCCCTTTGAATTCTTGACATAATAGGTATAAAAAATAAAATTAAAAACCTCTGGACTATTCATAAAGGTCCCCACCTACCTAAATTTTGGCTTGGCTGGTAATTTATCACATACATGTTTTTATAGGAGCAATTAAGGAATAAATCAGTTGTTCTTGTGAGATTCATACTTTACCTGTCCCCAAAGGTACAATTTGGTTTGCATTTTTTTTTAAGATTTATTTATTTATTCATATAGAACTGGGGTACAGGCCAGAGATACGGAGGGTGAGAGGATTCACCAGGGACAGAGTGGGGAGCAGAACAGGCAGATCGACGAAGTACACTGCTGAGGGGAGCAGCGGGCAGGTCAGGAGAGGTCTGCCTCGCCATGTGGATCTCCTCCGGGGCACGCAGGGCTCGCTCGAACTCAAGCGGCTTAAGCTTCTTAATGCTGTGCTTTAACCCGCTGTGCCACCAGGGAGGTCCTTGGTTTGCATTTTTAAAAATCTACTACTTTACCTTTAACAGCAAGAATGATTGAATAGCATGTATGATCTTTTATATTTAAACTGGGAGATTCTGTTTATTTGTTCAACAAAGTGTGGTAGTAAAAGGGAAATCTGATCATAAAGATATTGTCAAATCTTCAAAGTAAAGAGAATTAGTTGTTTTCTCCATATTGTTAATTTCAAAGAACCACCTAAGAGATTCTATGTGATTTTCTCTTAAAAAAATTACTCAAATTGAAAAAAAACAAACTAGAATTTCCAGATAATGACAGGAAATTAGTAGTGAAAATTAACATATACTGACTAACTTTGAAATTGGGAAAATGATTGTTGGGAGATAGCTTCCCCAGTGACTGTGATAGCAATTAACAAGGGAATATCACGTTTTTTCCTTCTACCATTCATAAGTTTGCAAAATTTATGAATTTCAACTATACACCTAGGCATTATAGTAGTGATTAATAGGTTTTCTTGTCCAACTTTAAGTATCATCAATTCTTTGATGATTCAAAAACTATTTTTTCAGTAAAAAATGTAATATGCAAGATAATTCCTAAATCTTTACATCTGGGACCCTCCCTGGTGGCACAGCTGATTAAAGCATAGAACTACAAAGCTAAAGCCACTTCAGCACGAGTTCAATACCTGGCCCCTGGAGGTGACCCACATGGCATTGCAGACCTCTTCTGTCCCGCCCGCTGCTCCTCTTAGCAGTGTGCTTCATCAATCTGTCTGTTCTGCTCCCCACTCTGTCTCTGATGAATCCTCTCACTGCCCCTGCAACTCTAGCTTGTACCCCAGTTCTGTATGCATAAATAAATAAATCTTTACCTCTCATTGTTTAAATTTAACAGAAGATAAGGGCATCATTTAAATCAATAAATAGGAGGATAACATTTTTTACCCCATAACAATACATTACTTTAAAAATATATAAATATATATACCTTAGACGAATCTTCGATGGCCTTGTGTAAGTTTTTTAGCTTCAGATGGCAAGCAGCCCGATTCAGATACAATAATGGAAACTTACTATTTAGTCTAATGGCTAAATTGTATGCATTAATAGCTGCCAAATAGTTTTCTGTTGCAAATAATTTGCTAATGAGACAAAAACAGAAAGTAAAAACAGTATAAGTGTTGAAAAAACTATCAGAAATAATATGCAATGATATCTGGCACACAGGATGGGTTACCTACATTTCTAGTCCTTGTATTATGGACATTGTAGCTGCAGTCACCACCTTTCCCCCTGCCCCCCTCCCCCAACATCAGCATGTAAACTGAATGGAAGCCATCCCATCCCTTTCAGTAGTTTAGGCAAATTGGCATAGTTCCACCCTCACTGGTAGAATAACTAATAAAAGAATGTGCTTGTGACCCGAAATGGTATTTTCCTAATGAAGACTGTAACTGTTTCCAGGGAGAATGAAAAATCGGGAAAACTCCCCCTGCTGGATGCAAATGAAGAAAGCACACAGACCAAGTTACAGCTGACTATTTTGACCACTATGGCAGGAGCTGAAAGAAGAATAAAGCTTATACCAGAAAGGCACTACACCTTTAGCTTTTCAATTTTATAAGCCAACGTACTCCTCTTAACATAAAGTTAAACATAAACTTTTTTTTTACTGGCAAACAAAAGCATCTTAATGGGTATATATATTATTAATATATTAGTCAACCCTCCAAAATTTTCTTTAAAATATGAAAATATAAATTATTAAAAGATTATTTGAAGTATAAAGTTAACTTTTTTCCCACATATGGTTCCCAGAATTTTGAAAAAGTCACAAACATGAGAAACTAGAAATTATTTTGTCAAGTATAAAAGTAGTATAAGTAACCTTTAATTCACTTCTAGTAGATTTTACTTCAAACACCACAGTTCTATATTATTAAACAGAATTAGTTTACAAGAAAAGTAAAACCATGAAAACAGTTGGTAAATCATGAGTAAAAGGTAAGTCAGCCCAACCACCATGCCATCAAACCTAGGACTGGCTCAAATTCAATATAACCTGCACAAACTAGAAGCTAATTTGGGGGAACAGTTTGTTTCTGAAATGCTTCAATATCAGCTAGGATGTTTCTTACAATAACAGAACCCCAACTGAAAGCAGTTTAAGGAAATAAATGACTTCACATTTTAAAAAAATCCAGAGATAGGCCCTCCCTGGTGGCGCAGCGGGTTAAAGCACAGCACTGAGAAGCTAAAGCCACTTCCGCATGAGTTCGATTCCCGCCTGCCCAGGAGGTGACCACATGGCGTGGCAGACCTCTCCTGACCTGCCCGCTGCTCCCCTCAGCAGTGTACTTCGTTGATCTGCCTGTTCTGCTCCCCACTCTGTCTCTGCTGAAGCCTCTCACTGCCCCTGAGCCTCTGGCCTGCACTATAGTTCTGCATGCACAAATAAATCTTAAAAAAAAAAAAATCCAGAGATATTAATGTAATCCGATTCAAATACCAAACATACTGTTCAAAAATTCTGATTAAAAATATAGAAATTTACATGGAACCATAGAAAGCCTCAGTGACAAAAGCAATCCTGAGAATAAAGGAAACAAAGGCATCACATTGTCAAACTCCAAACTGTAAATCAATGTGGTATTGGAATAAAAATAGACAAATGAATCAGTGGAATAGAATTGGAAGCTCAGACATAAATACACATATCTACCAAACTTAATTCATGATAAAGGGCCTGCAACCATATAACAGGAAAAAGAGAGTCTCTTTAACAACCGGTACTGGGAAAATTAGAAGGCTACATGTACAAGAATAAAGTGGGATTATTATAACTCTATACACAAAAAGAAATTCAAAAGGATAAAAGACTTGGGTATAGGCCCTCCCTGGTGGCGCAGCGGGTTAGAGCTCAGCACTGTAAGCTAGCTGTAGCCACTTCAGCGTGAGTTCAATCCCTGCCCCTGAGGTGATCCATATGGTGAGGCAGACTTCTCCTGACCCACCCGCTGCTCCCCTCAGCAGTGTGCTTCAGTCCATCTGCCTGTTCTGCTCCCCACTCTGTCTCTGGTGAATCCTCTCACTGCACCTGCACTTCTAGCCTGTATCCCAGTTCAGTATGCATAAATAAAAATAAATAAATCTTTAAAAAAAAAAGAAAGACTTGGATATGGTACTTGCAACAATAAAGTACAGAAGAAATGGCAGTGCATTTTACAATATCACTGCTAAAGGTGGAGACAGGGACTATGGAGGAAGACTATGTGTGCTTTAGCGATAGGTACACTATGGTTGCTAGGCCTGAAGGGGGAGATCCTATATTTCCAAAATACTAAAACAATGTAAACCAATGGAACTTTAATTAAAAATAAACACTTTTTAAAAGCAGCAGTCCAATGAAATAACCCTGAACTGTTGTCAATCAAAATTTGTCCCTGGACTTGGGATAAAGTTGCCATCTTTAGTCACATGGGCAAGCTCCACATGCCTAACTAACTAAAATAGGAACTCAGTCAGCAAGGGTTAAACAGGAACAACAAATGCTAGCTAAACTATGATGTCTACTATAGGCTTTTTTAAAAATTACAGTAACTTATAGATCTTTTACCATTTTTACCATTTTAAACAGCTCAGCAGCATTAAGTACATTCACATTGTGGAGTGGTGTGTCTTTTCCTTCTCTTAATGTCCTTGGTGTACATACGTTTTTAATTTGCCACATTCCAGCTTACCAGTTTTTCTTTTTGCCTGTGGGGTTTCTTTTTGGTTTTTGTTTGAATTTTGAAACTTCAGTGAGCAAACGTATATAGTACACCAAGCTCAAGAACACTTTGTGGTATGTCACTAGGTCAAGGCTTGGGGATAGACGTGACAGAATTACAAATCAGGATATACATAAACAGATAGAGGTGCCTAGTAAGGGTAAACTGGTTCCCTCATCACACAGCAGTATATGAGATGGGGATCCCAAGCCTAATGGGGAACAGATGTCTAAGAGTCTTTGGGCATTTCAAGGTACCTGTCAAGACTTTCACTTCCAGCAGCATGTGGTACATCTTCCTCAGAAATTTATCATGCTCACAACCCTGAATTAGCCTTTGGGTACCTCAACTAGATGAAAGTTTTTAGCTGCCTCTGAAAGTGCTGCCCACTCACCTTGACATTGGTATAAAGTCAGGGTGAAAAGCCACAGGGTTGGTGCAGAACTTGGTGGCCAGGAAGCCAGAGAAAAGGCAACTGGGCTTTACCCCCTCACACACTTAGGCAAGCTCATTAAGTTGTGGGAGAGCATCTTGATGTAGTTGTAAAGTGCTCTTGCAACTGATGTTGCTCTGGAACTGATGTTACTTATGTTTTTGATGTCACATCTAAAAAATACTGACAAATCCAATGCCAAGAAGCTATCTGTGATTTCTTCTAAGAATTCTATAAATCTAGTTCTATGTTTAGGTCTTTAATCCACTTTGAGTTCATTTTTGTATATGACATTAAGGGTTCAACATCATTCTTTTACATGTGGACATCCAGTTTTCCCAGCATTGTTTATTGAAACAACTGTCCTTTTTCCATTAAATAGCACCCTGTTGAAAATCATTTACGTGGTACCATATATGTGAGGGGTGTTTTGCGTTGCTGATTCCACAGATCTACATGTCTATATGTATTTTAGATTAATAAGGATATTTAAAGAACAATTTTTTTTTATCTTTAACATAAGTTTATAATTTTATAAAAATGCAAAACTTTTATCACAAAAAAATTCTTCCAGTTTCTCAGGGAAGAGTTTATAAAGACTAGTATTAATATAACCACTAAAAAGAGGGATAGTAGCAAGAAAGAGGTAGTAAAATTTTTAAATGTTTACATTAAAATATGAGTCTAGGGCCCTCCCTGGTGGTGGTGCAGCAGGTTAAAGCACAGCACTAAGAAGCTAAAGCCACTTCAGCATGAGTTCAATATCCACCCAGGGAGGTGACCACATGGCACTGCAGACCCGCCCACTGCTCCCCTCAGCAGTGTACTTCATCAGTTGGCCTGTTCTGTTCCCACTCTGTCTCTGGTGAGTCCTCGCATCGCCCCTGCACCTTTGGCTGTACCCTAACTCTGTATGCATAAAATAAATAAATCATAAAATAAAATCAAAAAGAAAATACATTTTTTTTAAAGTTCAAAACCACGACAAACATCCAAAACTTTGCTCAGAATGGTTTTCAGAGTGAGAAAAAGCCAAATTTTAAAAAAGAAAGGGAAAGAAAACTCTGTTTAAAGGGCAGTAATCTTTGAACACCATGTTTAAACAGAGAAGTTAAGAACATTATATCTTCTCTGTTGTTGCAAATAAGACAAGATCAATGAAAAGAATGCTGCAAAAGCACTCACTCATTCAACACAGGTTGCATTAAATGTACAATAGCAAAAGCAAGACAATCACAAATACTTGCCATTTTTTTGATAAACGATTCTGCACATTTGTAGAGGGAAAAAGCACGCTGGAACTGGTCAAAAATCAAACATTTTGTTCAAGAGTTGGTCATGGGGAAAAAACACAAAAGGCAAGAATGATAAAGAAGCAAAGTGGAGGCCCTCCCTGGTGGCGCAGCGGGTTAAAGCACAGCACTGAGAATCTGAAGCCACTTCCGCATCAGTTCTATTCCCGCCTGCCGCCTGCCCCGGAGGAGACCACATGGCCAGCCAGACCTCTCCTGACCCGCCCGCTGCTCCCCTCAGCAGTGTACTTCGTCAATCTGCCTGTTCTGCTCCCCACTCTGTCTCTGGTGAAGCCTCTCACCGCCCCTGAGCCTCTGGCCTGTACCCCAGTTCTGTATGAATAAATAAATAAATCTTTAAAAAAAAAAAAAAAAAGAAGAAGCAAAGTGGAGAGAAGTAAAGAAAAGGGCAGAGAAGCAGAGAAATCAGGAGTAGCTGGATTTAGAACAGCAATGGGACAGCAACACCCACACCAACAGAAGGCTGACAGCTCCATTTTTTGGGCAATAAGAACCACAGCAGCCACCTGTCCCTCAAAGGACTTTGAAAGTCCTGTTTCTTTCAGCCTTTTACTGAAAACATTCCTGGGAAACTTGAGAATTTCTAATGCCGAGGGTCAGTGTCCCTGAGAGAAGGCACATTAACC